GATAACTTGATGTTACCCTTAACTCTAAGTCGTGAAATTATTTTTTTTGAGTTAACCTTGAGTTATTGGTAACTTGCACTTTAACTCTTGTTGGTGAAACCGGCCCTAAGAGGACTTATTGCTTCCAGTAATATGCTATTTGCAAATTACCTCTTAAATCTCGTTATAATTTTTGTGTAAGTTTGAATAATACTATAAACCGGTATCGACCCCCTGGACATCGACCGGATGTCAATAAACATAATAATCGATATAGAATAATAGATTTATTTGTTTATTTTAGTCGATTATTATCCGTCGTTGTTTTTGCGTCTCGCAACCACGCAACGTCCGTTGAATCATAAGTAAAACGGTCGTACGCGTATATTTTATAACATTGTATAATGCTGAAAGTACAACAGTCTACGAGTAGCCGACTACAAAATTTTGTTTCGGAATTTAAAGATATATTTAAATCCAATGGACACGTTTTATATTGTGTACTATGTGGTCATTTTTTTTTTTTTAATGCATATAAATGCATATTATAATGCATATTTTAATGATTTTTTAAAAGCATATTTGTGTATTTTTTTGAGCTATAAATCCCTAAGCCTATTCATAACTATAAATATTGGTAATATTATATTTGTTTTCAAGTGTATCAAATTACGAATCCTATTTGGGTTCAGCCCCTTGCGCTGAATTAGATTAGGATTGGTAAAAACATGTACACATCATGCAGAGTGGTTTTGGCTCCGCCCCTCGCTCTGAAACGTATTAGGATCGGGAAATACGCCGACGGTTACGACGATCGCTCTCGCCACCGATCCATCGACCGAGTTCAACGTCTTTATTTTTTCGCCTTGTATCTACTATGCCTTCGATAACCCGTTGTACATCTTTTTTATATTTCTGTTCCGACGAACAATTTATTTGTTAATTTTTACCCCGTCGAGTTCTTTATTTATTATACTAAACATTTTCATTAATAACACCGCCTCCGTGTACTTTTATTTCAATTACCCTTCTGTGAGTCATTTGTGGTGAGGGGATCACACCAACCACACTCCCTGACACCACAAAGGTATAGATAGGAGGTACAGATAAAATTGTAATTATTGATTGAACGAGGACGTATTTAAGGAAGTATTGTATTCTTTTAGAAAGTAATGTGTTTAGGAGAGTGGATAAAAGCGAAATTAAAGGGGTGATTTGAGAATTTAATTGCGTAACAAATTGTGACATAATTATTGAAATAGGTTCAGTATTTAATATATTCGAGTTGTCTACAGGAGCTGGGCCATTATTGTTGTTTTTCGTATTATCCGCGTAAGAATTATTTGCATGGGAAGGGTGATGATTGGCCGATACATTGCCGGTCGGTACGACTGGATAAACTTTTTTTTGAAGTATCGTTGATTGTTGTTATGGAATATTTCTTATCACGAAACTTTTTTAACTTTTTAATAGGCTGGGCAGCCTAGATAATTTACTGTGTGTGATGCGGGACATAAAGCACATTTCGCGGGTAGTTCGCGGGATTTCTTACAATTCGCAGTGGAATGCGTTTGGCTACATTTGACACATCGTGGGGTATGTCTGCATAACCTTTTTGCATGACCGTATGACTGACAACGTTTGCATTGAATAGGATTGCGGGAATTTCTGGGTTTTTCGACGACGATTGAGGAGTTTAGTAACTTAGTTTACTTAAATATGTTATGGCTAAATTCAATGGGTTTAATCTCTACAACAAATAGTGACGTCGGGCTTTTTATGTCCGATTCTTTATGTTCCAAACATTTGTGACGGAGAAGTCCAGTTCCATTAGTGCCCTCTCGATATCCTCGATGAGAATTGAATGATGTAAGTGCCGAATAATCGCCTGGATTGGGCGATCACAATATGGAAAGAATGTGTAAAAGGACAGATTTGTTTTAACAAGGTAACTTACCACATTTTTATGTCGGATAATATTAATCGTATGAATCTTTACTTATTCTTTTGACGATTTAAAGGTAAACCCATCGGGGCCCAAAATAGAAGTAAGCGCGTCATTTAGCTTGGGTAGATTAGTTAGGTTTTTATGAAAATTGGTGGAGCCCTATTCGTATTTGCGTTTTCAATTTCCGGGGTAAACGTGTCAACATCTTGAGCTAATGACGATTCAGAGACTGGAGGGGGGGCTGAAAACATCCGGTTAATGGTCTTCGGATAGTAATAAATACCTTACTTTTCAATACATCTTGCTTGGAAGCCGACGACGATGAAGAAAGATTTCGTTTGGAAGTATCTGTATGAGGCATAGTCGGATTTAAATAATATAAAATATATTACGAAAATATATATTATCACTCCAGGTGTGCATGACAACAGAAAATTGCGATAACGCAGTTAATGTGTGCCATACGTGTATACACAATGACAGTCGAAATGGAACTAACCACTTAAAAAAATATCAGTAATTGGTTATGAAATATTAGTAATTATTTGCAGATTGGTTTTTATTTTAATTTAACATCTAAAAATAGTACACACGACTATCCATAATTAACTTCAATTGTATTTAATGATAATTCAAACTTCAACACTTAAAAAATGCTTCCATCCTAATTTTTTATACAGCTTTTTTCTATTTATTTATTTTTTTTGCTAATGTAATGTTTTTTTTAATAAAATCAAATTTAACAAAAAAAAAAAATTAATTTTTCAATGTTTATAGAAATATATACTTGAATCAAAATGATTGCATTTTTATTCGTTTCACTTTAAATTAGATATTATATTAATAAACTGAAATTTATTTATGTTTTAGAGAAATATATTTGTTGGTAAATGAAAAATCTCGTGAAAAAGACAAAGAAACTGTAATTACAGTTGTGCAACATGAATTATCGCATCAGTGGTTTGGTAATCTCGTAACATGTTCTTGGTGGAGTTATTTATGGCTAAATGAGGCTTTTGCTACATTATTCGAATATTTTGCTGTTCAAGCGGTAAGATATAAATCAAATCAAACCAGCATATGAACTACATAACAAATGTACGAAATAATTTTCATTTACATACTTATGTACAGGCAGAACCAAACTGGCGTATAGGAGATATGTTTGTCATTGAACAACATCAGACTGCTTTAGCCTATGATCATAGACCAAAACATCCATTGACAGCTTCGGTTAATACACCAAAAGAAATTATTGAAATTTTTGATACTATTACATATAGCAAAGGAGCGTCAATACTAAGAATGTTAAAACATTCATTGGATGATGATATATTTAGATCATCTTTATCGTTGTACTTAAATAATAATAAGTAAGTTTCTAAGTATTGAATATAACCTACAGACTAGGTTCATGTTATTATTATTCAAATTTTATCTCATTAGATATTACAGCTGAGATATTATATTATATAAAATTAAACACTGAAAATGAATTAGATGGTATCCTTGGCAAGGAAGCTTGGAAAGGAATGTTGACAGGAAAAAATTAAGAGGATATGATGAATGTCATACAGGTATCGCTTCATAGCAGGCGCGGTTCAAGGGGAGGTATGAGGGAGCCACGCCCACCCCTAGGCCTAAGAATTCCCTATAATAAAACTATTTTTCTTAATTTAAATTTGTAGAGATGGATGTATGACAGGTGATAAAGTTATATAAGAGAAAGTCTATAAGAGAAGTCTGAGATTCAGTCCAAGATTCTATTATTACCATAATAATGGTATTAACCATAATATAAGTACAGAAGTTAAAACTTGGCAATACTTTTCAAGTTATTGAAGGATTTATAAAAAAAAATTTAAATTGTAAAACTAAAAAGCCACAAAAAGGGTTAAATAAATGTAGTGGCCCGAACCGGACAGCTCGGAACAGAACACTAAAATGACTATATCCAATAAGAACGTGGTTAATACTTAAAAACTTTGTGACATGGTTATACAAAATAAAACGCCTTTATAAATGTACGAAGTCGTTTTATTTTCTAAAACAAACTCTACTAAACTTTAGTTAGAGTACATAGAGTACATAGATTTACGGTTTACATACTACGATTCACTCAATAGTAAAGTAATATTACGTCTAATTTAAAATATATTTCCATATCTTTATTAATATTATTAAAATACTTATTATTATTTAAATTTCTTATTGCTAATGTTAGTATAGTTTAATATTGAATTACACAAACGGTAAATGAAGGTAAAAGAGAATAAACCAGAAAAGTAAGAGTTTCTACATAGAGTTAGATTATAATCAAACAGGTAAGTGAAAATCGACCAATAGTTATATGAAATAATAAAATAGAACGTGAATAATAGTACCTATCTATAATAAGATTTTTGTTCCAAACCTATATTATGATGTTATTGTTTTAATACTTTTTTTTTAGGTTTACAAGTGTAGAACCAAAACATTTATGGAATTCATTCGATAACGTAATATTTGAAGCTAGTTATAAATCAGGATTATTAGGAGATAAAGTAACAATTGAAGACTATATGAACTCATGGACCAATCAAGCTGGATATCCAGTTATCTATGTTGAAACGATTAATGACAATCTAGTTATAACCCAAGTTTGTGTTTATAAATATTTAATTATATTATATACTTATATATAGCTACCCATAGAGAGGGGGGGTAAGAGGAGGACATATATTCTCCCTTGAAAATATAAAACCTACAAAAATTGTTTTTCTTGAGCCTTGACGCAATTTTTTTTTAAATAATTTGATATCAAATAATTAATAGGTAACAATGATAAAATAAAACATATCACTACGTAGATTCTCCTCCATATCGTGAATTACACCATTGATAATCATTCTGGATAGATTATCGACCATGGTATGACTGATGTTGTTCAAACGTCAACACACATAATGCATAATGCACATAATGCAGGAATATATTAAACTGATAAAGGAACGTGATTTCTTTCCTGAAATTAAAAATTGTATTTTAATATAATTAAAATTACCACTACCAGCTTGAACGGTAGAAAGTAATCCAATACGCTACTCAGAGTTAAATCATGGCTAAGATCAACGATGAGTGGAGAGAGATTGGATGAACTATGTATAATAAGTTTTCATTGTGGAAAAATTGGAGACTAAATAAATGTATTTTATTAAAAAAGATATTAACACTTTTGTTTTAAAAATCGAAATTTACCAATGTTATTTTCAGATTAATATGCAATTATTAAAATATAATATTAAAATTAAATAATTACATAATTTGAATACTTTTTGATTCACCTTCTTGTAATATATCTGTTATACCACAATAACATTTTGTACAGGTATTGAATCTATGATCTATCTACTTATGTCATACGTGTTTGGATACTTAGTTCCAGTTTGCTCAATGTTAATAATTAACTTATGGGCGCCTATGTACTCATATATTATTTCCCTGGCTGATATTTATTTAAATATTAAATTATAATTTATTTTTTTTAGAAACGGTTTCAAGTCGACTTTCCTAGAGTAGATGATAACACTTTGTGGTATATTGGTTTATCTTATACTACTGAAAAAAACAAACAATTTCACTTTCTTCAACCAACCGTTTGGATGAAAAATACAGAAAACAAAATAACAATACCACGTTCAGAAAATTCAGGATGGGTGATATTTAATCTTCAATCGTCGGGTATGATCTTACTACACGATATTAAGCCTATAAGTTCTGTTATATAGTTCTGACTAGGCTTAAGGTCTTCTAGCTCTAAAAAAAAAAATGCAAATATGCTTTAAAAAAGAATATGCACTAAAATATGTTCTAATAATTTTTTACTTTACTGAAAAATTGACTTATATTTTTTTTTTTATTGTTTTTATTAGTATTTACGTAAAGTAAATTAAATTAAGAAAGATTTGTGTTTTGATAAATTTAAGAGTAATTGATCAAACTCAATGACTATACAAAGCTAAATAGAATGAATAGAAAAATTAATAGTTATGATATAAAACGACTTTTTATAGCATTTAAAAGCTGCATACTGCTAAAATATGTAAATATATGCAAAATAAATTGTAGAATTTAGATATCTTGCATCATGAACAATACTTCTGTCTGACTTCATCTTTCAAAAAAAATATGCAATTGATAAAGCCCATAAGTCTAGTTATGACGTCATAACCTTTTAAATTATTAAATGGATTAATTAAATTTCCAAAATCTGAAATAAAACAAAAATATATAAAATTACATTTTTAAGTATTTTAACGTTAATTTTATCCCGTTTTGGTTAGTCTAGTGATTTATGAAGTAGGTATCACATTTTATTTTAAATACACATATACTCGTATATTCCTACAACATAAATGCTAGGTTATTACATTGTCGTTAATGCTTTTCGCCTTCTGGTTTCGTGCTACGGGAAAACTTACAAGGTAACCAGTGACGGTGCTAGAGTTTGCGAGGCCTTGGGCAAAATAAATGTTGGGTCTTATAATTTATATAAATAAAATATTTTAAATTCAGTTAAATCAGAACTTCGGAGCCTTAATTATAATTTAAGGCGCGGGGCCCTTGGCAACTGTCCTTATTGCCCACCCCCTCGCGCCGTCCTTGAAGGCAGCACACCATTACCTATTTAGACCAGGGGTCTTCAACCCGCAACCCGCAACCCGCGATCACATTTTAAAAGTTTTCATATTAAAAATAAAATAAAAAATTGTAATTAAAATAAAATGTTTAACTATTTATGTTTTAATAATAATAATAATAATTTGTAATTTTAAATGTAGCCACCTAATTTTAAAAATTATAAGAATAAAACCGAATTTTTATATAAAATACATGATTTTACTACGAATGCGGCCCGCAATGTTTAAAAAAAAAATAATATGTGGCCCGCTACATAAAAAGGTTGAAGACCCCTGATTTAGACAATCAATTCTATCGTATATTTTAATGCGTTTTACAAAAGAAAAATATAGCGGCAATCAAAATACATAAGTAAAATGTAATGCCGTATTCTCCGATTAATATAATTTCAGGGACAACAACAAATAGTGGATATTATTTATTTTATTTTGACATTAAGGAGTTTGACATAAAACTTATTTTTGATTGTAAATAATGTTTATAGTTCTGGAATAAATTTAAGCAAGAAGTAAATTATATTATAATATAATTTCGTAACAGTTTAAAAAACGTGAATTAATTATATTCAACATATATATTAAGAAATAAAATATATTTTTTTTAATTTAGTATTGAATGGGAACACTTATCATGTGTGTATGTAATTGGATTCATAATATAAACCCAATTTTCTGATGATTATACTTTTCTTTTTTAGGTTTTTATAGAGTTAATTATGACACAAAGAACTGGGATTTAATTATCGCCCAGATGAAAAATGACCCAAAAGAAATACATGTCCTTAACAGAGCTCAACTCGTTGATGACGCGTTCAATTTAGCGAGAGCTGGTGAATTGTCATACTCTGTGCCACTTACTTTAGTATCATATTTAGTCAAAGAAGATGATTTCATTCCGATGTATTCAGTGATGAATAGCATGTCATACCTTGTAAAACGGTTTAGACGTTGTCCAACCACAGGACGTCAAATAAAGGTATTGTACATTTTTTTAAAAACTGTATTACTGAGTATGAACATTACATAACTTTGAACTCGGTTTTACATTAAAATGAAAAATATTAGGAATTAGTAAAAAAATATGCGGAAATAGCTTATGAAAAAGTGAAATACTTATATGAAATAAATGATGGTAAACACTTAACAAAAACAAGTATGAACGCAATTTCTAATTGGGCATGCAAATTAGAAGTTGAATCGTGTGTTAAATCAGCTTCAAACTATTTCAATGCGTGGCAGGAAAATAGTACAAAGTAATAACTAAAGTTATACATGTGGTGTTTCAATGTTTAATAAGCAATTATTAAATTTGATATTAATAGAATACCATCAGATGTAAAAGATGCGGCATTCTGTATTGGTGTCAAAAATGGAACTCAAGACACATGGAACACTGTATTTCAGTTATACTTGAAAACATCATCAACTTCAGAAAAACGATCTGCATTGCTAGCACTAGCTTGCAGTACAGATAGCAAAATACTGTCCAAGTAAGTATAAAAATGCATTAGCAAAAATAAACTGACTAAAAATGTTTACTACTGATCTGCTAATTTCAATTTTCTAGCTATTTAAGTCTTCTATTAAATGATGATTGTCCAATACGTACACAAGATTTCTTAACAGTATTTGCCACACTAGTATCAACACCAACTGGAATTAATGTAACAACAGAATTTTTACAAAACAATATCAATAAATCCATCGTTAAAATGTGGAAAGGTGAAGAAATGATTGCAGACATGTTTGACATGTTAGCTTCCGCTGTTGCAACCAATGTAGAAATTGATGAGGTATAAAATTACTATAATTAGAATAAGTTAACATTATCACAATATTAATCAAACATTAACGCTATTTTTTGTAACTCTGTTTTTAGCTTAAGGCGATCAAAAACCTTGATTATTTATCACCAGCATTAAAAACTGCATTTAATGAATCATACAAAGAAGTTGAACTTAATTCTAACTATTTCGAAAGGAGTCATCCACTATTGCACAAATGGTTCAATCCAAATGAAGACAGATCGGCCCAATCCAGTGCTATTTCAAATTTATACTTGCCTTTTAATTTTATTATTCTTTCTTTGTTTTCAATAGTAATACTATTGAAAAACAATATACATTATACTGTTTACTTATAATAAATAAATAAAGTTAATAAAATAAAAACTATCAATGCATAAATTAAATAAACAATTTTATTTGTATAAACATTTTATAATATAAGATAATCATTTTAAATTATTTTCCAAAGCTTTAAACTAACATCAGTTGTATGCAAAATATGTTCATCATCATCATCGTCATCAGTTTCATTGTGTCTTTGTCCAGATGTTGTTGCTAACCAAGGATGAGTAGGATGTAAACTATAATAGTTAATAAGTTTAACAGTTAATAATAATAAAATATAGTTCACAGATATAATTTATAGTTTATTTTCAAATTTCTACAAACCTCACACCATTGACACAATCATTATGAGCAGGAATTTTAGAATTTAAAGCAAGTACACATTCTACACCTTCAGGCATTTCTATGTTCTGGTCTAATTTCCAAGTACTTACATCACCAGTACAATTGCCTAAAAGAAAATAATTGAATGCAAATAAATATATATATAATAAATACCAGCATTGAATATCTGAATTTAAAATAACAACTGAAATACCTGAAACTAAATATTGTCCATCTGATGAAATATCAAAACAAATTCTTTGGTTGGTTGTCACTGTTCTTTCAGCAGAATATAAAGTTTGACCAACATTCCTTAAATCCCAACAAACAATATCATTATCACCTTTTCTACTTCCAGAGTATAGTTTTAACCCATCAGGTGAAAACTGTAATTGAGTGATACCTGATTTATGACCTCTTAATATGTACATTAGTTGATTACCACCATATACACCTAAACAAAATATTTTAACATTTGTTAAAATAGTCGAATGAATAATTGAAATTTAAAGAGAGAACTAACCAATGTCTTTATTATAAGTACCAACAGCAAAAATACTTTTATCTACTGGATTCATAGCTATAGTAGAAATAATTGATCTATGTAAATCTTTTTTAGTGGATATTTCACTAAATTCACGTCCCGGGCGATCTGTGCGGAAGATATTTAATTTTCCATAGCTGCCACAGTAAATTTCTTCACCAGACCAATTGAAGCATAATGAATTTACATGAGCAACTTCATCAACACTGATTAAAAGCAAGAGTTAAATAGTACTCAAACATATTAAGTATGCAAGTTATTTAAAAAAATTCATTAAATTAATTTGAAAATTTAACTAAATAATGAAATAAATAATCCTAGTGTAAATAAATTTTATATAAAATATTTTTTGTTTAATAAAAATAATATAATTTTCTAACTCAATGGATTTTATAACTTATTATTTTTGACTTTTAAATTATAAAAAATGTATTAAACAGTTAATATAAATTTATTAATATTAATATTATTAATATATAATAATAATAATATTATAAAATAATTATAACTAAATTACTATTACGTTATTACTACTAAATAATATATTATGAAATAAAATTACATAAATATTTATTAATATTAAATAATATGTATTTAATATAAAATATCCTATTCATAAAATAATTAAAAATATATAAAAAACAAAAGAAAAGACATACTGGTCATAAACTCTGTATGTAGCTTCTAAGTGTCCATCTTTAGCGTTCCAAAGGTGAATAGGGGATCGGTTGCTAGTACTCAAAATTCTATAAAATATGAACTCATAATTACATTTTATTTGCGTAAATTTATAAACAAAATAATTTAATCTATATATATTTACTAACAAATTTACATTTTCATTTTCTGTCATTACAGTTTTTGGGTACCATACATAATCATAAATAGTCCCACCTTCTTTTATCTGATTGACTTTATTTATTTTTGTACATTGTTTTATTTCATCTGTTTCAATATTGAAAATTCTAAGTTTTCTGTCTTCACTATTGGTTAATATACTTAATCCATCAGGTGACCTAGGTAAAAAATATGTTTTTTTTTTTTTTTAATTATAAATACAAACATATAAGTTTAAATATATATATATATATATATATATATATATGTGTGTGTGTGTGTGTTGGTAATAAACTAAATAACATTTTTATACCATTTACATCCTTTTAAGCACTGTTGAAAATCTTTGTCATCAACAAGAAAATCATCTGAACACGAACAAAGAAGTTTTAAGCTTTTATAATGTACAGGTTGATAAATGTCCATTATTTTTTCTTGAGTATCCATTGATGAATCTATAACCTAAATAGATTATATAGCTTACAAAAGGCATTTGGAAAAATAAAAATTATAAAAGCAGCCAAAGGCCGGCAAACTGAGCCCAATAAAATTCTGACCTCAGTATAAGCATCCATGCACAACTAGCATTGTTTTTTTCATAATCATAGGTGCAGCAAAAGGGGTAAACTTAAACCATCCTCGATTTAAAAAAAAAAGAATAAAACTTTATAAAAGTAGGAATAGGGACTTTTATTATCATTATCCGATTTTCTAATAATCTGCATTACTTAATAGCAGTCGAAAAAAACAAAAATAATTTTGTTCTGTCATACAATTTGAAAATATATTCCTACGTATTTAACTTAAATAATTCAAGCATTGTTTAAAAATCAGCGTGTGCCCTTTGCCGACGAAATTCCTGAAGACAACATAATGTTTAATTCTTTTTCTTGCAAGTTCATTAAAAATAAAAATAATTTATTTACATGAATCATTTACCTCAGTCATAGTTGGGCGAGGTACGTATGAATATTAACACTCAAATTAATGTAATTATTATTAGTACTTTAGTTGTATACGGTATATTCATTTATAGTTTAAAAAATATTAATACATCAATACTAAAAGAGAATGACAGTCATTTTTCAATTCATTCAAAATTATTTATACTAGTAATCAATAATGCCAAGAATCATAAGAGTAGCCATTACATTCTGCACATTAACTGAATTTTGAATAACTGAACCTCAGAAATAGCGTTTATTTAAAAAGTGATAACAGGTGATAATATCAGAGATTATATGAAAATAATCTGTGATAATATCCTGTGAACCACGGTTTAAGATATAGGTATCTTAAACTGTGCTGTGAACGGACCGATCTAACCAGTCGGACGACGTCCCAGACGCGGTAACGTTTGCGGCACGGACTTTATGCGGCCCTCACACGGTCAATATTATTAACAGTATAGCCCAGTGCCGTAGCCAGAAAATTGTTTTGGGGGGGGGCACTTAATTTTTTTCTCACTTTTTGCAATGCTAGAATACCTAATCATCACCTATTACTTTATGGCCCCTTTGCTTATAAAGTATTAACTACAGACCTATTATTTTTATGACTACCATTATATGCTAACAACTATGGTACCCATATATTTAACACATTATTATATTATTTGTTATTAACAAAGTATTATTATTTCTTTAATAATATTTTTAAAAATTAAAAAAATAACAAAGTATTAAAATATTATGTTAAAACATATACTGATAGAATAATGTATTACTTAATATGTACTTACCAACATCATTTTTGAAAATTTGCTTCTCCAAAGACACATCAGGTAACAATAACTGAATATATATACATTAACAAAATTACAAAAACATTAATATACACACAAATACACAATCACATATTCCCATTAATTTATTAAAATAATAAATGTGGAATACATCAGAATATATTTATGAATATTTAGCTATTCAGCGTTCAGTATTTGCTAATGTTAATATAAACAGATTACAGATATATATATATATATATGTATATATATATATACCTATTATATAATATGATATATATAAAATACATATCACAAATTAGTATGACTATTGAGAATACTATATTGAGTAGTAAATGTAGTTTATAAGAAACATCACAGCATAAATTGTAAAATAAAATAACACTTGATACGGTTGACGCCTGACACCATAACAAGTCACCAAAAAATTATAAATTCAATTAAAGTATCTTTTATTTAAAATAGTAATAGGACATTGGTAACATATAGTACTCAGTAGTAGATTAAATATTGCTGCAAGAACAATAGTCAATAACAAATCTTTAACATGTTAGATTGTATTTTTACACAATTTATATAAATATGCACTCTTATAAAACTATAAAAGTAATACATTATAATGGAATAATGAATCACATATGAATCTAAACATTATTCTCACCTGTTGTTCATTTGTGATGAGATCATCTGAACATACCAAATCATGAACTGACTCAGTATTTTCAAATACATGATCTGCACCTACAACATTATTTGCACCATATTCTGTTTGCTATAAAATAAGTACATATTTGGGAAATTTAAATCTAAATTCTAATGTAGCTATGTTATTGCATTTCATGAATTAGAATATTACTATTCCATACCATTTCCTCAGAAGCTTCTATATTATGTATAATATTTTGTTTTTTTTGTAAAATAATTCAACAAATTGTTTGAAGTCCTTTTCATAATGGCTTTATAATACTACCGTTTATTTATTAATAATAAATAAATTATAATATAAATAATTAATATTATAAGCAAATAACATTAGATATTTTAATTTAAAAAAACAAACAAAAATGTTAATGAAATTGAGAATTTGAGAAGTAATGTGATAACACCGAGAACAATCACCGGTAATTTATTATCTATGATAATTAAATATAATCATAAAACAATAATTAACCGCAAATAATATACCATGTCCCCATTAACTATATACCACTTGGCACTTGAGCACAAAACAATAAAACATTATAATATAATAATATGATACTATCAAACCATAACCGTGTTCACAACAAAAATGGAACGCACTTGTATTTCTTAGCTGAAGTCTGTGCTTATCTTTACTATTTTACAAATTTTATGAATATAATTATACAAATTATAAAATTAATAACTTATTGTTATTCGTTATCATAGATTAATCTTGAATTATATAAATTAAAAAATTTCTGTGCGATGTACTATGGGTCTTTGACCAACCAAAAAAAAAAAAAGGATTTCGAGGGGGGGGACGTGCCCCCAGGGCTACGGCACTGGTATAGACAGTGGCGTAGCCAAGGGGGGGCTAAGGGGGCTATAGCCTCCCCCATGAACCGTGTTTATATGTATAATGTATCTTGACTATTTAATAGAATCAATGCTCGTTTTAATCAAAGGCATATTGATGTTATGCCACTTGAAGGACTTATTCCGGCAAATTTAAATATGTATGACGATGAAAATATTATAAAAGCTGCTAAAATATATGTCCAAGATCTTCATGATGATACCTCATCTACAATCAGAGCTGACCTGTTCATATGGAGGCAACAATGGAGTCAAAATACTATTCCAAAACCGAATTCTGTTCTTGATTCACTCTCTCATCGCACCAATCTTCGACCTAACATTAAAATACTTTTACAATTATTCGCCACGTTACCAGTTACCTATTTCACTCCGGAAAAAACGTTTTCAGCACTTAATCGCTTAAAAATTTTTTTAAGAATCACCATGTCGGAAAACTGACTGAATGGGTTAGCTATGGCTAATATAAATAAAAAAGAGCAATTCGATGAAAGTAAAATAATAACTGAATTTGCCAGAAATTCGCCTAAGAGAATGCAGCTGTCTGAGTGGAGCAAGTGACTGAACACTGAAACCAAAATTATTATTATTATTATAAATTATATATTAATAAATATTTTTAAAACTATACTAAAATGCTTGAATTACGTTTAGAAACTTGGTGGTAGATGGTGGGGGGGGGTTAAGGGTGAATTTTCATATCCTCTCTTACCTTACTTATTCAAAAAAAGTGGTTAGCCCCCCCCCCCCCATTTAAAAATCCTGGCTACGCCACTGAGTATAGACACAGAATAGATTCTGTGGTATAGATACTGACAGTATTTGAGCATATAAGCATTGACAGTATAGACCAGTGGTTCCAACCTTTTTTTGTTCATGGCACACCATTTACATCACAAGTTTTCGCGGCACACTCATGCACTTGATAACAACAAAAACTTTGGCTACGCGCTAAGATATCCAGTTGGGTTAAAAGCGTACAGTTTAACTACATATGTATCGTTTAATCTGCACAATTAATTGACATTTAACTGTCATAATCTTATCAATCGATGTTTTACCAAAGCCTCTGATGTCGGGAATAGGTGACCACTTAAATATGAATACAAGAAAATAAAAGGTAATATAATATGGAACGATAACAGACCAAAAGGCAACGCCGTACTATTTTTTGTAAAAAAATAATAAACCATACAATGTTGGGGAATGGGTGCCCAAAGGTTGTGGAAAATAATAATAATAATAATGGTAATACAAAATATATAAGTATAACAATAAAACGAGGGCAATAATAGAATAATTAATGATAATTAATACCAAAGTGCAATATTGGCAATAATACAATAAAAGGCACCAGTGGCGCCGAGACAGTATTAAAATAGTCGGGCAAACTTTCCAAAATAGGCAATACACCCACCACGTACCCAAAAGAAAATGCTCTGCCCCCCCCCCAAAGCCCCCTTAATAATATTCCTCTATTTACAACAACACACATTTTTATATATTTCTTTAAAAATTATTTAAATATATTATAAAAATTAATAATATAGGTACACATAACTTGAAACTGTTGTAATACCATAATAATGTAAGTTACTAATAATGAATAATAGAATTTCACAAATAAAATATTAGTAGTATTAGTTATTAATTAGGTATAACATAATAAAATAGATAATAAATAAAATAATTTTAACTTTTAAATAAATAATTTTTAATTATTTTAATGATAATCATCACAGTAAAAAGTAAAATATTCACTAAAAACAAATTAACAAAAAATAACTAGATTATTTTAGTATTTTAATTTTTTATTTAAAACTGTAGATTTTGTCGCAAAGTTGTCTATTATTGTTTCTGAATCTAACTGTATATCAGCTTAACAGGTGATACGCATCAGATCTTCCAATCTATCTTCCCCCATTGTGCTTCTTAAACGAGTTTTTATTAATTTTAATTTGGAAAAAGATCTCTCTGGGGAACAGCTTGATACTGGAATAGTTACTACAATTTTTATAAGCATAAATAAACTTGGGAAAATAGATTTTAGACCAGCTTTACAGAAATCTTGAAAAATGCACATTAAACTTGATGAATTTTGCCACGTTTTTAATTGTTCAGATGTAGTATTGTCACTGTTTGAATCGTTAGAACTCAAACTTGAATTGTCGTAATTCAAATTAGGATGCAGATACAATGGCGATGTTTCATTAATAATTAAATCACAATTTATAAACTGTTCATACTCCCTACGGACATCTTCTAACTTTAATAATGTATTATACGCCAAACAAACAGCCTTAAATGCATCTATAGGAATGCTTTTAGGGTATTTTTTTAATTCTTTTATACTTTTGGTTGATAATAAAGCAAAATCTTTCATTACTTCAATAGTTTTATCTGTAAATCTTTGACTAATTTGTGTTTTAATAATATCTAATGCTACAAAATAAGTATCTACCTTAAACTTTTGAATAGGATTTTGTTCAACTTCATCACTACATAATTCACCAGCCATTTTTCTAACTCTACGTTTTCTTGTTGTCTGCAATGGCTCAAATTCTTCATTCTTATTTTTATCATCAAATTCTTTAGCTAATATCAAAATATTTTCAAATGTTTCTTCAGTTCTCAGTGCCACTATGGAATCTTTAGCACTATTAACTAAATACTTCGCTGCTAAAATATCTATGTCACGAGCTTGTAATGTACGGATTAATGGTTCAAGTATTTCAAAAATTTTTTTAAAACTAAGAGCTGTCATTAAAAACTTATAAGAAGTCAAGTAGCTAAGCAGTCCATAACAATCAGCACCAAGTTTGAAATCCGATCCTCCATCTCTATTTCTTACTTCTTCTATCGTTTGATAAACTGCATCGTAAACATCAAGTACGGTATTTAAGGCATATGCATGTGACATCCAACGAGTAGTGTTTACACGTTTCACAGATCTTATTGGTTGTTTTGGATAGAGTTCTAGTTGTTTTTCTCTAAAAATAGCTGATCGTGCTTCGGTTAATTAAAACACGGCCGGCGAAAAGGAAATAAAACGCACACGCAGAAGGACGATGTCTCGTGCGACGACCGGCGGTACAAAAAAAAAATACGTCGAAATACGTCGACCGCTATGTGCCGTACTAGCAGGTGAACACACGACGACCGCGACAGTTGTCCAGTGGGGCGGTGAACAGGCCGTTAAAATAATCGCGGCCGCGGTTATCGGGAGAAAGGCCGTAGATGTGGCAAAAATAAGTTTATATGGCAACCAGCTCGAACAATCGGTATTTTCAAATATCAGACATTTTTCACGGCACACCTAGTTGATCTGGCGGTACACCGGTTGAGAACCACTGGTATAGACTATGCTTGTATTATCTTCTTTGTTATCATGTTTAGTCAAATACCCTCATCATAGAGAGAGCTTTTTAGCTTCCAAAAACTGTTAAACCAGTGGCGTGTTGAAATAATTTTTGGTGAAGAGCAAAAATGTATATACCAGAAGATACCCTTTATTCATCCTAACGGCATTTCCACCACAATAAAACATTTGCAATTTAAAAAATATACATATATTAGACTGATTTGTATAATCAGATGTACTTACTTATCTAGTAAATTTATTACACTCATTAATTATCTTGTATCTTGATCCATGCAGTGTATGTGAATTTTGAATAATGTTGTTAACATTGGTATTGCAATTAGTTAGCACCAATTGTTTCTAGTGTAACGGATCATATACAGTACATTTGTGCGCCAAATATTTACTATCACTTAAAACATTTAATATGATGTTATGATGTCTCTATGTTATTGTTATACTTATTGTTAAGTATTTTTTGACAGGGGGATCACCCACTTACTAAACGTTTCGAAGGAGCAATTGCTCCAAAATAATATCATCACCACGCCACTGGGTTAAACAATGGCAAAATGTCTCAAATGATTTTGGAGCTAAATTGAATTTTAGTAATTGCGTTGGATCAATTGATGAAAACATGTTAATTTTAAAAAACCGCCAAATTCTGGATAATTATATTAAAAAGAAATGGTACATTTAGCATCGTGCTAATTACTGTTATAAAAGCAAAATTACAACTCATGATGGTTAACGTTAACGGATTAATGGCCGGATTTCTAACGGAAGAGTTTTATATTATACAAAATGTTGGGAAGATTTTCAGAATAACACACTAAATATTCTATCACCATCTTATTCACCAAACACCATAAAACATTTTTTTTACGTGTTTATTGGCGATGAGGCTTTATCTTTTCATCCTAATTTAATGAAACCTGCAGACGCGTCCATAGGAATCACACCTTTATAGTCAACACGACTTAACTACTAACAAGCGTCGAATTTTTAACTATCGTTTATCAGTAGCTCGTCAATCAGTTAAGAACACATTTGAAATATTAGCTAGTAGATTTGGAATTTTTCAAAAGCCAATGAATCTTGGACCAGTAAAAGCAACTCTAATTATATTAGCTTGTTGTTATTTACACAGTTTTTTAATTGCAACTAATGAAAACATATACTGTTCAAAAACTTTACTAATTGAATAAAATACAGAAACAGGTGAAATAAAAAATGGTATTACAAACCAAATTTGTTTATAGCTTTAAAAAAAACACCCATTCGCACAATTAGTTTAAAAGCAAAAAATGTGAGAAATAAATATTCTAGTTATTTTTTTAGAGAAGGTTAAGTTCCGTGGCAGATTAACATGGTATAAATGGATTCATTTAATATAGTTAATATTATAATATGTACCTAATACCATTGATTATAAATAGTATAGATAGCTCACTGCAATATAAAATACGCGGCTCGTTAAATGGCGGGTGTCGCTACGAGGCGCTCCGCGCAGTTATTAGTTTTGGCGGGTGTCGTTATAATCGCTAGTAGTTTACAAAAGTGGGGTTGCTCCCATTTTAATAATAGATAGGTCTATTTTATGTTTAATACCTAAATTTAATAAAAATTGTCTATAATATACCTATACAGGTCATACTATTAAGTTTTCATCGGAAAAAGGTTATGACTATTATTAGTATGTTACATTTTAAAATACAAATAAGCGATGTAATATTATATTATATAAATTAGCAATAATATAGTAATCACATATTCACATTAACATATTAATTATTTTAAATACAATATAAATAGGTACTCACATAGATTGTAAATAGTATTTAAATAAATACTATTTATAATCAATGGTACAAACTATGTTGAAAAATAAAGGGAATATGGATTTACCAATTTATTTTATTGTTTGGCTAATGTGTGTAGTTTTCTCAATGCCCCTCTCAACCACCAAGACCATTGTCGTAGTTTATTTTTGAACGAATTGAAATATTTTGTTACTATTTTTAAGGTATTTAATGTTTATCTTGATACAAAATAAATGATTAATACAGCCAACACTCAACAGCCATCGGCTAATGGTTGAATTTGTGTATATTTAATTCGATAACCTGTTTTAATATTTATTTAATTATATTTTCATGATAATATAAGTATATTTCGAAATAGTAAGTAGTTATGACTAGTTATGAGCAGTGGTTGAATTGGAAAAAAAAAATAAAGGTGGACTCTAAATGTAGCTGAACAATTAGCGTTCCAAAGCAAATTAATCTAAAAAAAACCATGGGGGACTCTGTCCCCCCCCACCCCCTAAATGCATCTACAATATAAATAATTAAATATATCTAATGATTAACACAGATATCTATAACAAATAATAAACAATACTAATAGGTATTTATTTGTATTAATTCTATCAACACAGCAACACGTCTAGCAAATTTAAAATCTAAAATGTAAATATATAGCCACATGATAAAATTAATTAATCAATTAACTTTCAATTTAAAATAATTCATGTATTTTACTGTTGCCTACAAAAAGTAAATATTAAATTTATAGATTATAAATGTTACTCTTTTATTAGTATATTAATTTTTTTTTGTCAATATTAATTTTAATATTTGAAGTTTAATATTAGTCAAATAATTAATTTCATCCCGTCACATTATTTTTAGGACTAAGATTTGCTGAGAGTTAAATAATAATTATTTTTATCATAGGTATGTATATGTATTGTTTTAAAATGTATGACCAAAAAAAATTTAAGGAACTTTTAACTGTATTTATTAACTTTTTTTTTAGGTAGGTACTAGGTACTTCAGTAAAAAGGGTTAATAACTTTTTTGGAAAATCAAGTTTTTTTTTTATCAATTTTATCAAATTACAAAAAAAAAAAAATTGCCGGGACTGACGTTCATTGATAATCAGATTGTACATCAGTTTTTCTAATAAATTTTATTTCTACTTACTTATGTTTTGTATATCTTTTTTTTTTTTTTTTAAGGCGGGATTTATGAAGGTGGATTATCAAAAAAAATAAAAGTACACCGGTAACAGGAATCTGCGCACGCCTATAATTTATTATTAAATTAAAGTGTTTTAATTACCTTGGTCATTGTTTTTCTTTTTATTGAAAAAGTCCGATATGGACAATTTTTGACGTTTATTCATGTTTATTTGTTTATTGCTGACGTGACGTGTAGGACTGTAGGAGTGCGGTTGAGGTGTTTACTATTTTCAACAAAATTACAATTTATAAATTACATATGCGAGTACGCGACAAACTAACATAATACTGATTACTCATTCGTGGCGCACCTCGTGTCCAAATAAAATATAAATAATATTTAATTTTCCTTGAAAACGATCACCATTTGTTAATCGTCGATAACTAAAACAACGGACGGATTCTCAAAATACGGAGTCAATATATTATTATTGTCAGTGGTTTACTATGGATCGTTATCGTCGGTACACCCAGGGAAGTTTTCGTAATAGTTATATTTTTAGCAATTTAGCAGTTTATACCACGAATTAATACGCAGTGGAAACACTTGAAACGTGTTACATAAATTATATAACATTATTATATATTTTATTATTGCGTTCCTAATATACATATGTGCTAATAATAATGAACAGATTACGAACTAATACCAAAAATTAAATAAAATATTAATCGTTTCCAATTTTTTTTCATATTTATTTAATTTTTCTAAGAAACAAATTCATATTCATATAATTGTTGAAGGACGCTGCGTCCCCTGCGTTCCTTGATGAATTAAATTAAGGGGTACGCTATAATATGAAGAAAAATGAAGAGTAGCTCAGACCCTCTGCGTCCCCCCCCCCCAATTCAACCACTGGTTATGAGTATGTAGAATATTAATATTTAAATTCAATTTAATATCAAAACTATCAACACACCTTTAATTAAAACTGGTTACAACGTGCTATTACGTGTGTATAGTGTGTTACGACAGTGACAAAACAATGCGGGTCCTCACTATTTATAATCAATGGTTTAACCATTGATTATAAATAGTACTATTTACGTCTCACCGAGGACCGACCGCCGACGTTTAAAGCTAGCCATACACGTTCCGGTTTGCCGGAGAGGTCGGACTGCACA